TATTCGGAGCCACCAACGCCGAAATGTTGGTTGAATAATCTGACGACCGAGACTCCAGACTAATGTCAACCGCGAATCCATTCGAAATGAAATTTGCCTCACCAAGGCCAGAGACGCAAGTTGTTGTTTTCACTTTGCGCAATTGAAGCTGATGAGCAAGTCGAGAAGTAACTATATGCACCTGCGATCCAGAATCGAGCAAGGCACGAAAAGGTACCAATATGCCAGCGCGACTCCTCACGTTGACAACGGCGATGGCAAGAAGCACAACATCAGTACTGAGAGTCTGGGCTGAAATGGGCGGATGCGGAGATGTGGCAGTCATGACGCTTGGAAATGACGACGATGTTGGCAATTGCGTTATTGCTTGCTGAGAGGAATCAGAAACTTGGGCATCAGATGCAAACACGTGCGCTACGGATCCTTCAAAATGCAGAAGGCTGGGATGCCTTCCACCGCAGACTCTACAGGACCGAGCCTTGCAGGTTCTATATTGACATTTTGGAGACAGTTGAGACACAGGGAAAGCTTTCTGGCCTCCTTATGGCGCAGAACTGACGACAAATTTGCGAATTGGGAGCAGGTGTGTATTGAATGGCCCGTGGCATCACAAAATACACAGACTTTCGTACTAGGGTTAGTAGCAACAAAAGACCTTCTATTGTTGTTAATATTTTTGCTACTCTTTCCCACCTGTGATCCAGAATTGTACACTGCGGTAACCTGTTCCATATTTTCCAACTTCTGACATCGCTTTTACAGAAATGAAGTGAACTGTTGTAGCGTCGGAACCGTTTCAAATGGGACAGTTTCTTCCCATTTGGTCTGAGTCGCATTGTCCAATCTCTGCAGCAGCTTATGGATGACACAATCGGCGAACCTCAGCAATGTGTGCCTGAAATAGAAGACGGCGGTTATTAAAACGTCGATTAAGCAAATCCAAATTTCCGTCGATATCTCTTAAGAGCGAATCGCATCTAATGCATTGCCCTTGAGGCACGAGCGTAAATGCTGCAGTTTTTCCACTTGGATTAACTCCAAATCCTTGTCGATCATTGTTGAAAAGAGCGACATAAAATCAACATTATCCGTGTAACTGCCGCTGAATGAAGGCAACTTTAGCTCGAGCAAGCGAGACCGATTTAGGACCACCATAGTTTGACTCTCTGTAGTCAAGTCATGCCGCATAGTTGACGAAGAGGGTGCTTGAAACTGGCGCTTCCGTAACTCTTCTTCCAGCTTGGCAACTACAAACGCAGATTTTTTGTCAAACTCCTCATGCAGGATGAAGCTAGCGTCACCACAGTCGAACTCCTCCAAGCTACTGAGCGCGCGGTTAAAATTAATCTTCTTATTCTCGAGCAGTTTTACAAGATAGAACATCTCATCTCATCTTCTCTCAACAAACCAATTTTGTCATCTTTTAATTCGCATTCCATTACCTTGAGACTTTCACAAAGATATTCACCTTTGCGCTTGAAAAATACTACCCGATATCCAGGCGCAGCCACGGCAGTGGGTCCACGTTCAATCTGACGCTCACACGGCGGTACAGATGAATCATCACCATCCATTATTAGTGCAGTACTCTAATACGAATGAAATGTAATGCACAACGAAAACACAAGTCTCGGTTTGGCAACGGCAGCAACAACAACACGCGATAATGCACTTCAAATGTTCGGCACCGAAAATTGTCACTCGCGCCAAACACCAGCATATAAGCAAAGGCGAATGACCGTACAAAGCAACGGCGCTTGCTTGCGGTTTATATGTACAAAAACTATGCGCTTTGTACAGTCAATTATGTACACACATACGTGCACTGATGCTGCAGTGATATGTATGTATGCACACTAACTTTACACACACTTAGTGCTTAGTTAGTACACCACATATAAGTATCGTTTTCAGCCACAAATTATGGCTTTTCAGGGTCACCGGTTTTTTAATGTAAATCACGTCGGGTGTTCACCAAAATGTTGAGACACCGAGCTTTTTCGGTAGCCTTTTTTAGTCTATGGGTTTTGTCTGAAGCGGGCGTCAGACACGACAATTAAAACAAGAACGATGTCTTTTTAAATGTACATATGTATATTTTGCCGCGCAGGGCCAATTATGTTTGTCTATAAACCGAATTAATATACACGAATTTAAGAGGCCACCAACTCAAACAATATGCGCAAAAGTAGAAGTGCGTTGTCTCGTACAACAGCACAGCGAGAAGCGTTAGATTGCCACGGCGAATCTAGGTCAACTAACACCGATTGCAGCTGCACTGGCAGCTGCAGCGACTAAGAAAATGATAACAAAGGGAAATATACAAAGAGTGTAATTATTGAGCGCGATCAAAGCAAACATTATAAGAGTTATTAAACGTTTAGCGCTTCTTGCTTCGCAGAGCAAGGTACAATCTGTATATATGAATAATTATGCGTCTGCTGCGGACGACTGCGCTGCCTGCGCCTGCTGCTTGACCAAACAAAATCATTACAACAAAGCCCAGTTTCACTAAAAGCTATGATATCAGCGTCGAAAGAGGCACTGTTTACATAAAGTCTATTAAGTTTACTACGAAGGCCACGGACATTTTGATAGTTAATTACTAGGTGTGATTTTAGTTTTTTGAACGCGACTTTTCTTTCCTTTCATATCCGTGCACAATAGTATGCTGAGGCCAAATAACAGGATCTACAACCTTAGAAAATAGTGACTCAGACAGGTCAAACTTGAAAGTGAAGTAGCTTCTTTTCCGTTTAAAATTAAACTTTCTAACAATTAACTCGGTTGTATCAGTAAGCAGAATGTGGTCAGTAATATGGAATTTCACATCAAGTTCAGAGGTGTTAGGTAAGAATCGCGAAATAAAATAGATTTATGGGAAGCAACTGTTTTCAATAATGGAGGCGCTACCATAACAGAAGGGAGGGGGGTGGAAACAGTGGACAAGGGCATTGGCTAGACAACATGATTGCCATCAGCAACACCGGCAGACATCTGATAGCAGGCGCGATGATTAAGATCATTAACAGGTGAAGCATTTCATTAGGAACATCAGACGAAGTTGACGGACGAATGTCTATTTGAATATTGTTACACTGGGCCGATAAAACCTCCGCTTTAGCAATTGGAGCAGTAGTGGTAACATTTGTAGAGGTCCCCTTTTCTGATTCGGCAATTAAATCTGTGGTAGTGACAGAGGCTCAAGGTAAAAGGGGAGACGATGGTTGCTGTGAGCAAGGGATTCCACCCGAGTTCTTTAAAGAATTATCAGTTTAAAAGGGCCGTGCAGGAGCATCAAACGTAGGCGACAATATGAGCAAGTTAGGCGTAGTAGCTCGGTCAGGAACTGAAATTTGCAAAAATGTTTTATTATCAGAATCAGTCAACGAGTTACGTTTATTCCTTTTCCTTTTAGGAGACTAAGACAGCAGTTGTAATCCGTTAAAAAACCAGTCGAGGGCATTAAGTTTGGAGGCCAGCGATCTAAAGTCATCCTTTATATCCTTAAATCCATTCCTGGTTTGCGCCATGAAAGTTCGCATCTTCATTTCCATAGGTCTGCAATCCGGACAAGTCCAATTGAGTCCGATGCGCAGCAAATAAAACCCAGTTCGCATCCATTAAGTCCTGCACATTTAACATGCGACAAGTTATTGCAAAGCCAGTATGATAAAAACTGGTCGCTTGCAATTTTGTTTTTAAACGCACAATTTTTATGCAGCAGGTAAACATAGCGACGATGTGTGTTTGACAATGCAGTAGCTAAACAGATGGCTGAGATGACAAGCAGAGTGCACGTGTATAGTCCACACGGTAGAAAAATATATAGGCAGAGATAACAAAAAGCAATAGCAAACACGGGTGTTTGGTGTTAGCGCGGTTAGCAGATCTTTTAAATAGAGTGAATTTGTGTTGTTGTTTACGCGTTCGGGCACAACGTATGCAAGAATATATGCAGAATGCAACAACAATTACAGAGAGAACTGCGGCGGAAACAATACAAGTATTAATTATTGGAGAAAATATAAAGTCACTGTCTTTCACAAGGCGATATTTAATAACAACTCGAAACGGCAGTTAAGACCGTATCTGCGTGAGTTATTTAAATGGTAAAAGAGCTCGGAATTTAAAGTGAAAAATAATAAATAGCGGAGCTAAGTAAAAACCGACCGAATGCAAGCACAAGCCAAAACTTTAGAATTATTTGAAACAAGAATTGCGTCAATTATATAATTTATTCTTAACTTTCGTTTAAATCACAAAATAAGTGTTAATTCAGCAAAATCTGATGTTCGAATAATGTAATTTTCTTTTTGAGCCAAAGGGGCATTTCTATTGCTTGGTTCTTTTGGATGCTGTGTGTGAATGCTGGTGTTTTAAGTATACATTTAGTAATTTGCTAATTTAATAATATTTACATAGGATATGCAAAATAATTTGATGTAGATTGATGATTATTTTTATATGGAAAAATATCTTTGGTAGTGTTTTAAATCAAAAAAAAACAATCGAGATTAGAAACCTCCTTCTGTGGTACCGGGAATCGGTTCTGAGGCGAAACTTGGGCGGAAGAGATTTCTGTGGCACCCCTGCATATGTATGTATAAGATATGTCTACATACTAAATTTATGTGCCTCTAACTATTATAGTTGATCAGTTTTTATAAGAGCGGAAATTTGATTTTTAGAGTACCTATTCACGAACACGGTATATACATATATTCATCAAATCTTAATTGCTATGTTATTTTGCAAAATACCGAGCTTTTGCTTATGTGGAATTAAAATGTGATACAAAAAATAGCTCATAGAAACCAATTGCTTAAATGAATCTTTTTTTTTAAATAAATTATACACAGCTGATTTTTTAATTTAAGAAGAGACAAAGTAGTTGCTACTGGAACACTTTGTTTGGACGACCTGCTGTATGATATGTATTGTCGATTGCGATACAGTAGTATCAGTTTAATCGATTACAGCATCGATATTTTGCAACATGTAGCTTGCGATGCCTGTGTGATTTGGATCTAAAGTTATTTTTTGCTTTGTTGCTACTAGTTTTTCGTGTAATTGCAATTCGATAATTCAATTACAAAACGGTGCAAGAACATATTCATGTAAAACAAATACAAAAATAAAAGCTCGATGGGAACTGTAGATGCACGCGCTAAATATAAAACAAAATATTTGCGTTAAATAGAACAATTTTCAACGCTTACCACTCGAAAGGCGAAAACGCCAAAATTATACAAAATGTGTCAAAAAAAACGAATTCTATATCAAAATATGTATTTTAAGCTTCTAACAAACGCCCAAGTCCTTTTTGATAGCTGTTAATGGCTTTTTACACAAACTTACTAGCATATGTATGCATATTTACACATTTTGTGTTTTTCGCTATAGTTTTATTCATAAAACAACAATAATTTAATGGCTTCCTCTAGTTCTTAGCTACAAATGCATACATATACACACGTATGTTTGTAGATATGTATGTACATATGTTTGTATTTATAATGTTGGTACACACGAAACATATACAAGTATATACATACATACCTATATGACTTTTGTTAACAAGGAGCTTAATAGTCTACATGTTTATTTGAATCTTGTATCATATATAATATATGTATATAAATAATATATGTATTAATAAATGTATATATTTATATATGTATATATATTAATATATATGTATATACATATATTAATATATACATATGTACTATATAGCACAACTTTGAGTCTTCAACTGTCGTTTTTTTGTATCATGCATAGTATATTTTTGTATGTATTCATAGTCGCGCGTGTTTGTGATTGTGGGAAACCGACTTTTTTTTAGTGTGAATAGCAACACAAAACGAGTACGACGTCAACATATGAATGTGTGCATTTTGATACTAATACAGAGTTGCATACCGGTAAGTTTCTAACTATACACACTTACGATAGTTCAATAGTTCTTATAAGCAGTCTGTAGCAATAATTGCAATCAGACAAGAGCGTTTAAACAGCGACAGTAAAATTGTATTGTAGCAATTCATATATGTATGTACACATATATATGTACACATATATATGTACATATGAATACACATAAGTATGTACATATAGATTTAAATGTACATATGCAAGAATTTATGAAATTTATTCGTTCTTATAAATACATGCATATGTATGATTGTATTTACCTACACATATGTATGTATGTATGCATGCCTTGATGCCACGCCATGGCTTGCATTTTCATAATTCTTGTAGCTATTTTTCTTTTGATGGCTATAGAAAACATGTCTCTTGCTGCTACTCAAAATAATTTAAACGCCGGTGTATCATCATTTATCAGTCTTACATATCGGTTAATGGAACATTGTACTAAAAGCGTATGAGTTATGTCACTTTACAATGTATGTACATACATACATATGTACTATGTATAATAACTAAATGTTGTAGAAAAGATCCTCAAAAAATGTATATTCATACATATGTACATACAATGTGCATATTTTAATTAATCTAAAATTGACGGCGTCGCGACCATGCGCCAAGAAAACGTTGACCAAAGTGACAATCCTAATTCCAAACTAAAGTCTCCATGCTTACTTATTTTTAATTAAGACAAGCAGACTTGTTTTTCATATGTATTGTATGTACATGTGTACATACATATATACATATGTACGTATGTATGTATATATGAGCGAATATTGTATAAAATCGTTCTCTGTTGCTAAAAAAAAATACAACGTAGTATTTCGACATTGCGCTCTCTGAGTGGCCCAATTTGGCAGTTAGAATGCTTTAATGTGCGCTTGCGTCTCAAGTGTAAGAGAGTGCGCTTGAATCAAGAACCATTAAAATATTAATAATCGGCGACGTTAAATTATTTGGAGAAAGGAGTAGAATCAATTGTGAAAGTAATTAACAGTAAGCGTCTGCACTCACAAAAACAATGTGTTTTTTGATATCTTCGTTGTTGGGTTATTTTATATGTTCATATAAGTATTAACACATGCAGCACAAATATTGCCGGTTCATTTCTCACGTTGTGTTTTGTTTCTTGCACCCTGATTTGTACTATATACCCTATATCCGATAGCTTGGGTACTATAAACGACGAATGTACACATGTATGTACATATGTAACAGCCAGAAGGAACGGCAGGCCCCATCCTAAATGTACTATGTACATACATACATATGTATGTATGTATGTACATACATAAACGATCTGCATGTCTAGATGATATACATATGTATGTACATATACACATATGTACATATACAGACATACATGGTCATATACTGTCCGTCTGTCTTGTAACAGCCAGGAACACCAAACTGGGGGTATGTCGACATAAATGATCCATATGCAGAGCAATTTATATATGTATGTACATACATGCATATATTTTTATTCATTTAGAAAGGCTATTTTGAACTTGGTCAGCCATTGTAAAGGCCACAAGAAGACGTGGAAGGTATGTATGTACATATTGAAATGATCAGAACGGTGAGTTTAGTTGATTTTGTGGATAACAGATATTCCAGCTGTTTTGCTTCGGAACTTATCCCAACCAAATTTGTTACTAATGTGTACACATACATATGTAAATACATATGCATATGTATGTATACATGAGAGAGATGTTAAATCCCTATATTACTGGGTAGCAACCTCCGTCGGCGTAGCAGCTTTCCTCGGTGTAGCCGCCTACCTCTTTCGTCAGTAGTCAACGCTCTGTAAGCCCTCACTAATGTAGAAACATATTTCATCGGCGAATTTTAATTGCGCATTTGTGTATTTTTTGTTTCGCCGCTTAAAATAGTTTTCATGAGAGCAGTCACTTCTCTCTGCTTATAGAATCACTGTTTCTTCACTACAAATTGTGTCACCTCAAGTACTTTTATTTTTTGTGACCCTTTTTCATCCGTTTATATTGGCAGTTTATTAAAACAAGTGGAAAAACTAAAGTCGGGTGCTCCGACTTTAAAATACTCTCTACCTATGTATGTGTAGAATAATTAGAGGAACGGAAAAAAGTAACAAAAATGTAACAAAAAATGTTGTGATCGATTATACCTCCTTTGGTATTCGAACTCACGTAGAGGGTGAGGAATAGAAATTGTGTCTAAGTGCGTTTCAGTGTGTAAGCATGTGTGCAGCAACAACAACAGCTGCGGTAAGAGCTTTGGCAGAGGTTACATTTATAGCTATTACTTCCTTTAAATTGTACCTAGCAAAATAAAACTTGACATACGGACACATCATCCCTAACAGAAGGTATTTGCTAAATTGCCTTGTTATACTGATCGAGAATATATATACTTTGTGGGGTCTGCCTTCTGTGTGTCACATACATTCGAATTTGTAACTCAAATATTATCACTTTCGGCAATTACTTTCTGTTAAGGCATATATGTATATTCGTATATTAAGATCCATCGTGTAGGTTAGCTCTAACAAGTGGAAAAGCGAACGTCGGGTAGAGATTACATTTATGAAATATTTGTTTAAATTCTAAAAAGTGTGAAGGTTTGGAAAGTCAGAAATAGCGAGGAAGAGGGGGAAGGAGCAAAATTCTGAAATACACATGTTCTGCATCTTCATATAGGGCTTGGCTCAAAAATATAAGTTGTTATAATCTCTGAGACTTAGGTGATTATACAAACGGCGTTACAGAATACTTTCTATAGGGGCGAAGTGGAGGGGTGCTGCGTATAGTCTCTGAGATCCAAGTGTTCATACGGACGGACACAGGACCGCTAAATCGACTCGTCCTGTCATCATTTCCCGCAAACCTAATATACTCTTGTACCTTTAGGTAGTTCAGGGTTTCATTGGTTCAGTGTTGCCATTACAGCTTTTTTCTATCATTTTAAAAATTGCTTCAGTCTGAAAAAATATCAAACATCCCCTATTCGAAAATCTGTCCTTTTTTAGGATAACATCATTTTTTTTACCCTGTACGTGACGGGGAAAAATAGTATATTAGATTAGTGCGCAGTATATGGCAGGCAAAAGTAGGTATTTTCGATCCCATAAAGTATATATATATATATTCTTAATCAGCATTACGAGAGGAATCGATGTAGCCATGTCCGTTTGTCCGGATGAACGTCTAGATTTCGGAGACGGTGAAGCGCACATTTACCAATCTTGGTATGTAGACTCTTATAATATCAAGGCAACACGAGTTAATTCTATTGTTTTGATTCTCCCTCTCCACGCTACAGAATTTCGTCAATACTGTGTTCTGCTATGGACGCATATAACTCACTGCCGGAAGTTTGTTTAGGTACAGGTTATTTCACTGTACGCTTTGGAAGCTTGTTATACTCTGTACATGAAATGTACAAGAGTATATTAGGTTTGCGCGAGCTGAAAATATAACAGGCAGAAGGAGGCGTGGCAGACCCCAAAAAGTATATATATTCTTCATCAGCGTGACAAGACGATTCCCGATTTTCCATTCGTATAATCGCCTATATCTCGGAGACTATAAGACCTAGGATCACCAAGATGCCTTATGTGATAACTCCCGTATTTCTTGGAATTTCGAACTCGAACTTGGCAAATACCTCCAGTTAGTGATAAGTCCAAATGCCAAGTTTCATAATGATAGGCCGATTTAACAGGACGTTATAGCCATATATGTATATATGACCAAGCAGTGCTCGCAGCTGTTGTTGTTGTTACTGCTTTGCTCAGGCACACGAGACATACACAGCCATACACAGACACACACAAACACACACATACACTCATAGTTATTTTACACAAATGTACAGAGTATTTCAAAGTCGGGACACCCGACTTTACCTTTTTTACTTGTTTTATTTTTTAATTTACCCTCCATTCACCTGATGAATTTTAATAGTTGAAAATTTCAGGAATTACAAGAGTTATAGAAAATCACTCTGTATTAGCGGCGGAGCCGTGGGTGCATCAGAAAAAAAAAACAAGTGGAAAAGCTAAAGTCGGGTGACTTTGAAATACTCTGTACATATGTATGTGTAGAATAACTATACGTGTTTGTGTCTATCATAATAAAACTTAGCATACGGACTCATAATCACTAATCGGGTGTTTTTGCCAAATTTGTGTCAAAAATTACAAGAATTACGGGAGTTATGGTAAATCACGGATTGCGTGGGAGAGAGAGGAAAATTTGCGTTTTCTGTGTATTAACATAGTGCATCTTGGACTAAATTTTGGTGATTTGCCTAGGGACTAGGATCGTCTACGTACCAAGTTTCGTTAATGTACGCACAGCCCAAATTCAGGGGTTCATCACGACGGACGGACAGACGAACGGACATGTCTGGATTGATTTCTCACGTCATTCTGATTGAGAATATGTATATATTTTCTGAGGTCGGAGATGATTCGTTCTGCCTGTTACATTGCAAAAGCAGGGTATAACAAGAGAGAACGCTACAGACGCGCAAGCCCGACAATGAAATACCTTATACCTAGACAAACTTCCGTCACTGAGTTATATGCGCCACATTTCTTAGAATTTACCGATTTCGATGAAATTTAAAATAAAAGTAGATAGTTGTACATATATAAATAATGTTTGCAAAGCTTGGTTTATGTAGCTTTCAAAATGTGAACAGTAGGCGAGGGAGGCGTTCATCCAGACGGACAGACGGACGGACATGTCTAGATCGATTTTTCTCGTCATGCTGATCAAGAATATATATACTTTATGGGGTCGGAGATGCTTCCTTCTGCATGTTACATACTTTGCACAAACCTTGTAAGTTGGCCGACGATGTGTGTCCAAGATAGTTTTTTCTGTAGTATATCCGTCTGGTGATCTCAACACCGGGAACTTTTGAACCATAACAGCAAGAAACAGCAGCGTGCGTCGCGTATATACTTGTCTTATCTTTTATTATTGTGTATATT